ATTTCTGGGTAAAAGTGCTCAATATGAGAGATACGCCGTATGTAAATAAATATAAAAGTGGACATCAAATATTCAGGCCATGAAGATTGTGCTCAAGTATGAAACTGACTGTCGCCGTTCGTTTTTGTCCTCAGTGTTCACACACACGCACACACAAATATATGCGTGTGTGTGTTTCAGAGGGAGTTGCACATGTGTTTAAAATTGTCTATGAATGAATAGGGATCAATATCGGTGATAGTGTGATCTGAGGACTGCTTCAGATGTAAAACTGACACTCACAATGCCCCCCCCAGACACATATATATATGTGCATGTGTGTGTGTATTGATAGTAAAATAAACAATGTAAAAAAAAAAAAAAGTAATACAGTATGGTAATATAGCTTCGTGTTTCCGGGTGAAGTCATATCGTGACATATGTAAAATGTCCAGCGAAACATGATAAATACTGTGTAATTTGACAACTGAATACGTTGATCAATCTATTAAGAAAAAAAACGACAATACTTAATCCCGATTTTTTAGGTAACTAGACACTTGGAAGATTGCCAAAAAAACAATCTTTTTCACCGTTAGTTTCTTTGATGGCCGAAACTAGGTTTCTCCTATATTTGAAGAGATTATTACAAACCAACCACAAGTCTTACAATAATTAATAAATCTACATACATAGGTAGCACGTTTAAAGACGAAAAAAAATTCGCTTTTTACGACTAATTACTTTTAGACAAGCTCCTCATTGGTCAATGCATCGTATATATTGGATAAGATATAGTATAAAATATCGTTTCATAATTCAGTTCATTACTACAGATTGGGTTACGAACTTACTGATCCCTTCATATATATATATATATATATATATATAAATATAAAAGAAGAAAGACTCCCTGAAGATATATATAATATATATATATATATATATATATATATATATGCACATTTTAAATGCATTTGAATAAAAAATAACTATTTTTGAAATGTTCTATTAACCTCCATATCCGTGAGGATAGATAAACAGAAAAAAAGATAGATATAGAGATAAAAAGAATAGATGGGTAAAGAAATAGAGAGTGGGGGAGGTAGATAGGTAGAGGTAGAGAGGGGGTAGATAGAGAGATATAGAGGTCGAAAATTTCTACTTCCACACACAAGTGAAAATATTAAGAACGAACCCGGTGAAAATGTTTAATGAACTGACCGAAAGCGAATAGTGATCATTATAGACAGTTTCTATTTTCTCATAGCCCCACTCCCGCTGGAGAAAAACTGTAGGAACATTTAAAACAACTGAAATGATTTTCCTTGTCTTTCACATTCAAATGAAACATGTATAAAAGAAAGGTTGAAATTTTAACAAGTTACTATCTATTATATTTTCTAATAAGGTTTTCTTTTTGTCAGATTTGTTTTCATATTTCGGTGTTGAAGGTGGAAAAGGATTGTCCATAGTTCGTGTTTTAGTTCTTTTTAAAATTCTGAGCTTTCAGTCATTATCAAATCAAGAAATTATCCATCCAAAGTCCGTATGGTAGCTTATATATGTAAATATACAAACATTGAAAGCAGTAATATATATATATATATATATATATATATATATATATAACCGTTAACAATACAGAGGTTTTGGGAAAATTTACAACGGTTAGTTTTCCATCTATACTTGATGATTGCATCGTGCATGAAACCTGAATTGTGCTAATTGAGAAAATTTATACTATTAGTGTAAATTTCTCTCTCTCATATATAAATATATATATATATATATATATATATATATATATATATATATAATTTTTTTTCTACATTATACACTCGTTAGATTTTCATCAATTCACTGTAAATTTTCTCTTGGTATCAAATTTATTATACGCGAGTATTCTGATAATTTTCAGCCTCCGAGGAAGCACTTTCCCACCAAAAACAGCTGATGTTTTTGTCAGATGTTCACAGATTGGGCTGAAATTTTTTTTGTACCTCCTTTTTTGTATTCGAGTTTATCGACATTGACTTATATTTTCTCTTAATTGTGGCAGTGCTAATAGTAGCAGTATCATAAGCGAAAAGACCCAAGATGTTCTTTATATAACAAATGTACTGATTAGTAACACAGTCTGAATCATTTGTTTGTTGCTTATTTTGTTTTTATTGGGTTTTATTCAAAAGACAATCATGTTGCTCGGTCGTCTGCGAAAACAGCAAAATTCTTCAAACGCACATATAGACACACACACACACAAAAATGGCACACTAATTTATTTCGATAATGTCTTGCATAACCATGCAAGGACATTAAACAAAAAAATCTATAATATATCGTATTAAAATGACAATGAAGTTTGAACAAATATCAATAGAAACTTACTAAAGACAAATGAAAACAATCCCCATAAAACACGGTATTTTTCACCAAAGGAACTGCCCCTTTAAAATAGCAATTAAATTTTTTACGTCAAGTTTTTTATGTCAAATTTAATATCTTCAGGTATCGTCAAGGAAGTAATTAAAAAATAAATTTTAAAAAATATATCCCTAACATATAGCGACGTAATACAGTCAATTTGAATAAAATTATAAAATTTCTAAAATAAAATAAAACAGACTACAATGTAGCTAAGATTTTTTTTTTTAATTCTTGATAAAAGGCAGTATTTAAATTCCTGGACAAAAATATTATAAACATAATTTAACCCGGAAGGAGAACACTAACCGGAAAAATTGAATAACAATTTAAATAGACTTTTACAGTCAATTTATATCAATAAAATATATCTGACTGAACTATAACAACGAAAGCGTCTATCTCACTGTTTTATATATATATATATATATATATATATATATATATATATATATAAGAAAACAAAGAGGAAATGTTAGAAATTTAACATTCCTGTTTGTTACATATATCATTCTGTCGTATTTAAGCCATATTTATTCCCACGGAGATAAACACACTCGTCATAAAATAGACACTAGATAAATCTGAATAACTTACCAAATATTCAGTCATATTCAATGAAAAAATTATAAAATATCAACTGCCACCCATATATATAATAAACAGTTATTGGTCAGAAATGATTTAGACCAGGAAACAGTTGCTTTAAAAAGTGCTCAATACACGTATAAAGAAAATAAAATTTTAACATGCAGAGCTTTTAAATTTCGGCTGATATCCTATTTTTTTAAAAAGATTATATATATGTGTGTGTGTGTGTGTGATTAATACAAATAAATGTAACACTAGCTTTAATGTATCAAAAGCTAGTCTAAATATTTGCTAGTGTTTAAAGCTGGTATTAATATTTCTCTTATAACAACATGTCAGCTACGTGACCAATTACATTCATTTGTATTGGATCATATGTGTGTGTGTGTGTGTGTGTGTGTGTGTGTGTGTGTGTGGAGTCGCCTGAGGATGGATTCATCGCGTGGAACTGGTAATTACGGTGAGATTTGTGCCTTTTTCACGGTCTTGGATTGTATTCTGGTTTCTCTTATCAGTCGTTTCCTTTTTCTTTTTTATTTTAAATTTATCCTTGTAATTATTGAACACGTCGTATCTTGTTTAGTTCGGTTCTTTAATATTTGTTTTTGTTTGTCGGCATAGACCTTGTTTGGTTTGTTTTTTGGAATTTGTTATTTCTATGGTTTCATTGATGATTGTCTATATCCATAATGACAGACAGACAAAATGGCCAGACACAGGTTTCGGTGCAAAGGAGTAAACTTGCGAAGAACGTATGATTTTTTTGAGTGATGGAATTTTTCAACTAAATTTCTTTGAAAAAGACAAATTTCTTTTGACTTTCCAAACTATAAACCGATTTAATGTGCATAAAACAAAATAAAAGATTATTCAAAATCTTTTAACTTAAAATAAATAACAACCCCCCCAAAAAAAAAACAACAAAAACGATTATTTTACTGGTTTGTTGAATCAAATTTATGAAAAACTGTTCAATGTCCCACCATTATTTTACTTGGCAAGATTTGCAATCAGAAACGTTTTCTTAAATTAGTTTTATTGAAACAGCTTTTAATGAAAGCGGAGAATTTATAATAATAATAATAAATAAATAAAATAAATAAATAAATCTAAATGGGTTGAATTGTAATACCGAAGAAAAATTGTCCAGACTACAGTGGCTCTAAATTCTAAGAGTATACAAAAAAAGGTGCTTGAGGTTGAAGAATAGCCGCCACTAGAGGTAGCCTTAGTATATCAGGTATTAATAAGCACATAAAGAAATTCACGAAACCTGAAATAACCTCTGTTAAAATAATATTCCCTAAGGAATTGAAATCAAAAAATTGGTCTATAGTACGCATAGCCTTAAAGGCATTACGTCAGGCGGACACAAACAAGCGTTTAAACGGTAATTTAATAAACGTAGCTTACATGTGGCACAAGGTTGCTAGTATAGAGTACCTCATGAGGACTGAACTGATTACTCAGTCGTAACTGATTTAGCGAGACAAGCTTGCTGCTAAACATTACAACACAGAAAATTAAATGCGTGTGTGTGCGTGCGCACACACACAAGGAGGCGCTGAAAACTTCTTGGAATACCCATTCACTACAATTCTATTTTTAATGGCCAAGCCTTGGAATACTAACTTTGAGAAATGAGTCGAGGCAAGAACTTTTCAGCACCAAATTATGAAGACAGAAAAAAAAATGTGTTCCCGTTAACAGTTCTGATGAGAGGTGACGAAACCGGTCGACTGGTGTGTGTTTTTGTTTTAAATCTAACATAATACGTTTCTGTACTGTTCCAAACATATATATATATATATATATATATATATATATATATACACACACAGAGAGGGGTATGCCAATATTGAGACAACACAGATAAAAATATTTGCTTTGATAATTTATTGCATTTTGACTGCAATAGAAATAAAGTATAAAATTGCAAAGTTAAATTTGGAAATCGTATTGAAATACTAAATACAAGTTATTACTGAAGAGAGGTTTAGGCGTATGGCCATATCACGGTGAAACACTGGTTCACGTACGATCACCGAAGTTAAGCAACGTCGAGTTTGGTCATTACGTAAATGTGTGAGGGCTTGAGAATACCAGGTGTTGTAAGCTTGGATGTCAGGGTGGTGTTAATAACGACGACTTGGAATTAGATAACAGAAAGCCGTATTCCAATTAGGAATTCACATACACGCAAATACCCTTGGAAAAGATATGAATCCATCATTTCTCCACCAACCGTTACAGGTAAAAATAGTAGGTCTTTTATCAGCAAATAATTATCTCCAAAATATTCTTACAGTCGGAAAAATCATTTGACTTTAAATAACATGCAATATGTCGATAACCCGTAAAAAAACAATGAATCAATTCACAGCTTTTAAGTTTATTTTTCACTGGTTATAAAAGTGACTTGGTAGATAGACACACACACATAGGTAGGTAGGTAGGTAGGTAGAAAGACAGACACACAGGTATTTAAGTAGGTACAAAGGTAGGTAGACAGACGGGGACACACACATAGATAGGCAGATAGATAGGTGGACTCACACATGGATAGATAGACAGATAGACGGATATACAGATAGATATAAACAAACAATATTTCTAAATATATTATTCCATCAAGATGAAGCTTCTTAATTTGGAAATGTCACAAATTAAGAAAATCTTCTGTCTCATGAACTTATTTTTAAATAAATCTTTTAAAAATCTTTATAGCCATTTTTATAGCTCCGGGCCTACATGCAAACATATCTTTTTGAAGTCTATATTCTGTTACTTTAATATAAATTTCAAGCCTTGATAACTTCATTTGTTAAAGAAGTTTTATTCCTAAAGTCATAACCTATGCAAATTATTTTGCTATCAATTTTCCTGTTTTTATTTTTGTTTTGTTTTTTATCCATATATAATTATCCTTTATATATAAAATAATAAAGTTTAATTTTCACTCTTAAATTATTCCCTTTAATTTTACTACTATTTGGCTAAAATAGTGTCCTCAGGAGATTCTGGTCAGATCGAAAGGAATACAGAAATGATTTAATACACTATTCGTTTGATGAGACGGAACAAATATGTTGTAATTAAATGAATCTAAACTAGGCACGGCATACCTGAATCCTCTGAGATAAAATATTAATAAAATTATCTATAAAATAAAGATTACACTTTAAAGCACTCAGACGGGAAAACTGTATCATTTCTTATGCAAATTAACAACGCTATCAAAATAAAATAAATCGACTGAAAGAATAATAATATTCTTAAACTTTCTCTACACACACATATATATATATATATATATATATATATATATATATATATATGTGTGTGTGTGTGTCGAGAAAGTTTAGTAAATATATATATATATATATATTAGCTGATTGAGGTTATATTCCAGCAAGTGTGTGTGTGTTAAATAATGAAAATATATCTGTAACAACACAACATTAACAAAAAAGCAAAACTTTTCTTTACCATCGCGTTTCGTTTCTCTTATGAATAAAATTATCATTGAGATGAAAAGGCTACACGTGCTGAAATATAACATCAATCAGCTAAGTGACAAACTTTTATATATATATATATATATATATATATATATATATTCAACATTCAGGTATTATTAATAAAAGTTAAAAAAAATGAAAGTATAAAATATATCTAAAAACACAACGTGAACAAAAGAAAAGTTATTCTTTACCATCGCGTTTCGTCCTCTGATGAACGGAATTAAGACACATTTGCGTTGATAAAGGTCACCAGTGGACGGAAAGCGTTGGTAAAGAGTCATTTATATATATATATATATATATATATATATATATATATATATATATATATGTGTGTGTGTGTGTGTGTGTGAAGACACAAGGAAAACGTTTGTTTATCAACGCTTTCCGTCCACTGGGTGGCCTTTTTATCAACGCAAATGTGTCTTAATTCCGTTCATCAGAGGACGAAACGCGATGGTAAAGAATAGTTTTCCTTTTGTTCATGTTATGTTGTTACAGATATATTTTATATTTTCATTATTTAACGCATATATATATATATATATATATAATATATATATATATATATATATATATAAATGTGTGTATGGAGAAAGTTTAGTAAAAATTATTATTCATTTTGATATTTGTGTCACTACCACACAAGAGAATATTTAACTTCGAAAAACATAAGGAAAATTAATTGATTTTGAAATATCCACTCTTTGCCTGAAGAAGGTCGCGAGAACCGAAACACGTGTTGCAAAATTATGGAAAATAAAGCATGTTTTTAAAAAAAACAGTTTACAACCAAAAACGTTTGTGGTTTCACTCTTTTTTAAAATATACACTTTTCTCTCGTTGAAACAACGATAATTTCTTCCCTGTGTGTGTGTGTGCGCGCGCGCGCGTATATATATATATATATATATATATATATATATATATGAATAAATATGATTTTTATTAAACTCTTTCAACCCTTGCGTGCACACACACTCCTCTATTCTTATTCCTATGTCATCAAAAATGTAATGCGTATGAAAAATTTATATAGATACATATATTTGTAAATACAAATAAATGCATAATTGTATTTATGTTCATAATAAGTATACATACGTACAGGCAATGTATTTGTATGTATACATGTCTCTCTGTATTGGTAAATACGATTTTCTGTAGTGTCTGTCAAGCTTTCAAATGTAAAAGATGAATACAAAGCAATCATCTCCTAATCAATATTTAATTAATAAAGTGCCGTGGATTTTCGATAAACAAATGAATGTCGGGAAAATGTATTTTTTTCAGATCCTGCCTTTATATATATTGATTGAGATGCAGAAATAAAACTACATGGCTCTTTCTCATCAATACGTTTATTTCAGTTGTCAGTATATATCTCGAAACGCTAATGCTACAGAGACGCCCTTTAAATGTATTTAAAATGGACTAATTTCGGAAAATACTATAACAAATTTACTTCCGAGATCAAACAACTATTACTACTAATACGATGTGGTAGAATTTAAAGAAAATAAGGATAACGATAAAAACGTAAATCAAATTAATAAAAAAATGGACTATACATCGGACGTCAAAAGCTGAGCGTCTCTGTATCTTTAACGTTTCGATCTAAACTGTGAGCAGCATCTGTTGTAATTTTCCCTCGATCGCTTGTTTTTAACAGGTTGATTTCATCAATAAACCCGTAAAGTGCAATATGAAAAAGGAGGTATGCTTAACTTATAAATAGCAAAATTACCCAAACATTTATAAGATTTAATTGAATATTAATTATGCTTGCGTGGTGCTGTGTGTGTGTGTGTGTGTGTGTGTGTGTGTGTGTGTGTGTGTGTGTGTGTGTGTGTGTGTGTTTAGTGTGAATTTTTCAGCAACCCTCGTAACTTTTATAATTGTGTGGTCATTTTTTTCTATTGAATGGAACTATTTCCACATCTAGACACTAGATAATTTTTTGTAGCACGCTTTTTGTCGATATTTTATTTAAACGATAACAACCAAATGACAAAGATGGAGTAGTTGTATTTTTTTCTAAACTTCTCTAACATTTATTGGTTGTGATGAAATATTTTAAACCTTCGTTGGTACTTTTATTAACAGAAAGTGTAAATATATTTGAAAAATCCTAAATACCCGCACACACACACAAACATATGAAAGAATATATTTAAAATAAATTTACAATGAAAAATTAATCTATTTTGAGAGAGATTTTTCTCTTGAAACATTCATGCCATCCCCATCCGCTTTTAATAATACTGGTGGGGTCTCTAGCAGGGGAGACATCCAATCTGACTGGTTTGTTGAATAGAAATAGACTTCGATTGCTCACGGGTAAGTAAGATATTCACCAAACAAACCTCGTCATTTAGTTGGTTTCAATGTAGATCTAATTAGTCAACGCATCGCATCCGATGCAGTTGTCACTCACGCATATACAGAGATATGTACGGAGATTTGTCAATAAACCTATAGCCTAACGAAAATATTTTTGGCACGACAAATATTTATCTTTTAATATAATTTCATTGCGTTTCAATGCAGTTAATATAAAACGTCTTCATTAAACACATCGATTGATTATTATAATGGAAATTACGGAAAAAATTCAGCTATGTGAGAGTATAGTGATATTAATCCACCATTATATATATATATATATATATATATATATATATTTCTGAAGATGGCGTCGAAAAACTACCAGTCACCATGCAATGTTGATTCCTATGTTCGTAATGTCTATATAAACTCTCCCATAATAAATTTTTTATTTGTTTTAACTTCAAACGGTATTATAGTGGACACTTATTTAAAATAGACGCCTTATTTTTATTTATTTTAAATAAGTGCGCACTATAATAACGTTTGGGATAATAAAAGTAACTTTTAAAATAAATCATTAATTCTAAATATATATATATATATATATATATATATATATATATATATATATATATACACACACATATACATGAAAATAGAACTTTTTTTACCAACGTGTTTCGTCCTCTGATGGGCTTTTTAGAGATAAGTATGACATTTATCTTCATTAAATCCATCAGAGGACAAAACGTTGGTAAAGAAAAAGTTTCTTTTATCTTTATTCATATTGTCTTTCATCATATATATATATATATATATATATATATATATATATATATATAGATGCCTACACACACATATATATATATATATATATATATATTACATATGTATTCCTACACATACATACATATATATATATATATGTACATATGCATACACACACACCCATATATATATATATATATATATATGCATACCTACACACACACCCATATATATATATATATATATATATATATATATATATATATATATATATATATATGCATACCTACACACACATATATATATATATATATTTATATATATATATATATGCATATATATATATATATATATATATTACATATTATACATATATATATATATATATATATATATATACACATATGCATACATACACACACACCCATATATATATATATATATATATATATATATATGCATATATATACATATGCACACATATATATATATA